CGGCAAACTTCCTTTCCTCAACGTGCTCCTAGTGTAGCGGAAGAGATGAGGGTATGGAGGGGCCCCCTAAGGTAAAAGGAGGGAGAAGGCACAGCAAGGAGCAGCTGCTTAGTTTGGCAGGGGCCAGGGAGGGCTGTGACTCCTGGCATGAGGTTTCCTGGACCAAGTGATGCCTGAGCTGATTCTGCAAAGATGGATAGGGTCCTTATGACGCCTTGAGAGGGAACATATTCCAGGTAAGGAGAACACCCTGAACCTAGGCATTGGCATGGGAACCATGGGGCCACACACACAAAACAGAAAGTAAGTTCTGGGTTATTTGCACAGAATGTGTGACTGCAGTGGGACACAGGGCTGCCATGATGCCCCTCCTGAGAATAGAAGATGAGGTCAGCAGGAATACCTGCCCTGGCCCTCTCTGTCTTCTTGCACTTCCATAGGTCTCACCCTGCCCAGTCCACACGCTTTCTTTCTCTAGTCTGTCAATGTTAATAGGCAACTTGAGTTAATTACACTTTTTCCAAGATTGTAGTTGGGGGAGAGGGGTATACATTTGACCAGCCTTGTCAAAAGAATGCCTCCTCCTGTCTTTATTAGCCTTAAGATTGGCATTATATCAAGTACTGACCAGGTTGAAGAGCTGTTAACACCTCACTTGTGCTAACTCACTGAATCCTCCCTTTAACCCATGAGGTGTGCTCTCTCGTCATCCTCATTCGACAGGCAGATAAAGGAGACTCAGTGGCCGGGTGCCCTTGAGGTATGTGGGACAAGGGTGTGGCTGGACAAGGAACTCTGCCGTCCAAGCAGAACCAAGATACAAGATGTGGTGAACAGCATCTCTTTGAAACAGGCCCTGGGATATATTTTATGCATTTTTTTAAAAGAGCTTTAATTAATGAAGCATGCAGCACCTAAATCATGCAAATTAGACTGCATGTTGACAATGATAATCCCTGGGGAGCTCAGCTTCATTTCTTTCGCATAGTGTGAATGTTAAGACCTTGGGAGGTATTCATTTTTGTGTTCACAGCTTGCACCCTCACAAACATACATACACACAGACACACTGCACCTGCAGAATATTCTCAGACATCCCCATAGGCACCAGATCATCTCTTTCCCCTGGGTCCAAGCTAGGACTCTCTCTCTCCTGTCAATCTGAGATCTCCCATGGCACCTCAGGGAGCCCTGGCCTGGCCAGTGGTGGCTCCAGCTCTTGCTGAGGTGCCCATGAGGGAGCAGGACTGGGTCAGAGCCTCCACTGACAGTGTCTTCCTGAATCCTTCTCTCCCGCCCCTTTTTCTCACCTCCCAACTTGACCCCACCCCCCTTCCCCCTACCCATCACATAGTCCTATTTATCCTTGCAGCACACTGGTCTATTCTGTTAACACTCCAGGACATCTGCATAGGAGCTTTGTGACACTATAGCTTTTCTGCTCAGAAGGGAAGCCCTATGTTTTGACTGAGAACTTTGTGCCAGGTGTGATAATTGATCAAATCTTGATGCAGCCCTGGGGTGGGTGATACCCTTCCCAATTTACAGACAAGGGACTGAGATGCTGAGAGGTGTCTGCTTGCCAGTCCTTGACTAGATACTGTCTGCTGTGACCTACCACCTCCAGCTGGCAGAGGATTTTTAGGACCAAGAAACCACCAATTTCCTTCTTTTCCTTTTGATACTTTTCCCTCTTTTTAAAAGTAAAAGTAACACACAATGTGGTAAGAAATATTTCAAATGATAAAGAGGTGCAAACAAAAGGCTACATATTGTATAATTCCATTTACACAAAATGTCCAGAACAGGCAAATTCATAGGGAAAGAAAGGAGATTAGTGGTTGGGGGAGATTTGACTTAACCCTTTGACTACTTAATGGTTACTTAATGGAGAGTTTCTATCTGGAGTGATGAAAATGTTCCAAAATTAGATAGTGGTGATAGTTGTACAAATCTGTACAACTATATTAAAAACCACTGAATTGTATACTTTAAAACGGTGAACTGTTTTGTACAAATAAATAAAGCTGTTAGAAAAAAAAGGTGCAAAAAGAAAAGTATAAGCCTGTCTCACCATCTCTGTATATCAATTAGCAACAATTTTTTTGCTGAATAACTAAAAAAGGTACACACCACGTACATAGATATTTAATTTACATACAGTGATCATGTTCTATGCACTGTTCTATAAATTGCTTTTTCACCTCTTCATTATATCTGAAATGTTTTCATATCAGTAAATATTAATAGAAGAGCTTTGAATGGTTTCCCATCTCACTGAGAATAAAATCCAAAGTCCTTTCTTTGGCTGACATGATCTTGATGCCAAAGCCTGAAAAAGATATTACAAGAAAGGAAAATTATAAGCCCCACTCATGAACATAGATACAAAAAATCTTAAAATATTAGTAAAGTAATCCAGCAATATGTGAAAAGAACCAGTACACGATAACCAAGTTGGATTCAATCCATTAGTGGCAATATTAATTTAACCTTCAGAAACCTGAATTCACATTATTAACAGACAAGGAAGAAAAAGCAGGACTTGCCTGGTGGTACAGTGGATAAAAATCTGCCTGCCAATACCGGTGACACGGGTTCGATACCTGGCCCAGGAAGATCCCACAGGCAGCTAAGCCCATGTACCACGACTACTGAGCCCAAGCTCTAGAGCCCACGAGCCGCAGCTTCCGAGTCCACACGCTGCAACTACTGAAGCCTGAGAACTCTAGAGCCTGCGCTCTGGGACAAGAGAAGCCACTGGGCAATGAGGAGCCCAAGCACCGCAACTGGAGAGCGGCCCCCACGCTCCACAACTAGAGAAAGCCCACGTCCACGTGCAGCAGCAAAGACCCAGCAGAGAAAAAGTAAGTAATTTTTTAAAAAGGAGAAAGAGCATTATGATCATCTCACACAGAAAGCTGTTGGATAAAATTCTACACATTCATGGTGAAAACAGGAGTAGATGGGACCTTCCTTACCCTGACAAAGGGAAGCCACAAAATCTACAGTGTTAGAAATCAGTATAGTGGTGATCTCTGGATAAAGAGCATGTGAGGGGATAATGTTCTATTTCTTGATTTGGTTGGCCCAGTGCGGTGACTTTGTGATAAGCTGTATATAGATGCATTGGATACTTTACAGTATGTGTATTACACCTAATTTTAAAAGGTTGTAAAAATTTTTTTAAAAAACCAAGGAAGAAATGTGGTTCTTTCTGATGATCTCAGAAGGGTAGAGGGTGTAACGAGGAGCTATGGGAGCTTACAAGGACAGGAGATGGAGATGTTGGAATGAGGAGGAATGGAGAAAAGAGGACACTGAATGGTTATACATGTGGATGTGGGCCCCAACCAGGATGGTGTCTCTGGAGAGGAAGCTGGTGAGCCAGGGGCCAAAGTTATCTGTGAGTGAGAGGCAGTAATCTCACAGGAGGAGGTGTGAAAACAGGTGTATCAGCGGGAGAGATATATTAGGGAGCACAGAATTTAATACCTAGATGCCTCTCACAGAGTGCATCCTTCTACAGTGAGAGACCACACTGTGTACCTGTTCTCCTCAGCCACTTTCACAACTGCTCTTACAGCCCGTAACAGCCTGAAAAGTAGTTAATTTTTTGTGGTTCTATTGGGGAACCCTAGACTCAGAGCCAGGAGGACCAGAGCCACAACTTAGGACAGGGCTGCGTAGAGCCCTGTCCAGATGTGCTTCCAAGACCAGTGTCCGCCGGGGCATCCAGGCCAAATCACAGTCCCTCTGTTGATCATCAGTTAAGAGGAAAATAGGGATAATATCTTAAATCGCAATTGGCAGAAGCCCTAAATGCAGTTTCACAACTTGATAAGGCAGTCAGTACAGTTTTTTTCTTCCTCCCCCACCCCTCCACCAACATATTCATCAAGATGTGTCAGAGAACTTCAAGCCTAGGAAACCCAGGATCACGAAGACAGGTAGGCAACCACCGCTCCACTGAGAGAGGCTGGGTAGAGACTCGTTTCCCTGGCCAGGCTGGTACTGACCAGCGGCATTAATTGAGAAGGCTGGATTCTCATGATGCCCTTGTCCTAGGCCAGCTGTTCCCAAGTGCGGTCCAGGGAGGACCCAAGACTCTTTCTGGAAGTTCCCAGGGCCAAATCTGCCTCCCAACAATGTCAAACCATCACTATATCCCGGGTCTAATGCTCAGAGGCTATGGAACTCAAGATGACACGGCCACTCGAGGGCCAGTGAACGTGGTCTCCAGGGCTTTAAAATATGTTCCAACTCCTAATACTCAAATGTCCCTTATAAGCAAAAGTATTTAGGGGTGTAAATTATAATTTTAAAGAGTGTAAAGGGGTCCTAAGTAGGAGTGCTGGACTTGGAAAATTAAAAATACAGGCTGCCCAGTTAAATTTGAATTCAGATAAACAACGAACATTGCATGGGATACATTGGCGTTAGTAAGTTATTAGTTGCTTATCTGGAATTTAGATTCACTTAGGGGTCCTGGATTTTATAAGCCAATCGTAGGCCTAAAAGGCCGAAAAGCTCCTGAAGCTCCCCGCAGCTCCAGTAATTCCCGGCAAGGCACTTCCGGTAAGGGGGGGGCGGCCAGTGTGCGGCCCCGCCCACCACCGGAAGCCTCCTAAGGCCGAGGTAAGGCTGTCTTCCCAGGTCCCGCCCCTCCCCGCCCCTCCCCGCCCCGCCCCGCCCATCACCAGAAGCCTAAGGCCAAGGCCAGGCTGTCCTCCCAGGCCCCACCCCGTCTCGCCCCGCCCCCGCCCCGCCTCCTGGCGCCTCTGGCTGCCGGAGCCTGGAGCTGGCTGCTGAGCGGGCGGAACCGGCTTCCTGCCTCCAGGGGGCGGCGGCCGCGGCCCGGTCCCAGCTTGGGCAGCTCGGCGCCGCGCCCGCGCCGCTCTTCTGTCTGTGGGAGTGGCGGGCCGGCCCGCGGGCCGCCGAGGCCGGCGGTCGCCATTCCCGTGTCGTTGCGCCCGCGGGGGCCGCCCGAGCCGGCCACCATGCCGCTGGGCCTGAAGCCCACTTGCAGCGTCTGCAAGACCACGTCGTCCTCCATGTGGAAGAAGGGTGCGCAGGGGGAGATCCTCTGCCACCTCTGCACAGGCCGGGGCGGCGCAGGCGGCGGCGGCTCCTGCCCAGGGGCGGCCGGCGGCGCAGGGGGCGGCGGCGGCGGCGGCGGCGGCGGGGGCGGCTTCGGCGCCACGACTTTCGCCAGCACCTCGGCCGCCCCTCCGCAGAGCAACGGGGGCGGGGGCGGCAAGCAGGTGAGCCCCTGCGGCCCCTCCCGCGGGCGGAGGCCGGCGCGGCGCGGGGCGGGCGGCGCCCTCCCGGCTCGGCCGCGCCCTGACTGGGCCGGGCCGCCCCCTCCCGTCAGCGACGACAAGGCCGTCGTTTGGTGTGGCCCCTTCTCAGCGCCTTTTCTTCTGAGACGTTTAAAGTCTAGAGAAGCAGGAAGAGGAAAAACCCCTCAGAAGGCCCTCCTGTGTGATACTTTGGGTAGCAGCCGGACATCTCAGGGTACCTACGTTTACACAGAGATGTCTGCAGGGTCACGGCTACTGGACCTCTTTCCCTGTTAATAAAGTTTACTTTGTCATAATGTCATTTTATTAAGATTATCAGGTCATTTTCAATGGTAAGATAAGTATTCCATTGCAGGAGGTGGCATACCACACCCATTCTCTGGCTTAGGAGAGTTGAGTTTTTAAGGACTTTTGTGTTATAAACGCAACCGATGAACGGTTCTTACCTTGGCATATACTGACTGACAACTCTTGCTGCCCGTTGCCCTTTTACAAGTAGTTCACACCTTTTTTGGAGTCTCTGGAGATGTTTGCCTGTGGCTCTCCCTATTTAAATTAAGCCGGTTCGTTTGATTATTACCCAGCACGAAAAGAACAGTTGCACTCTTAATTTATTTTTAAATGTTCGTTTAAAGTGCATACTCTGGGATCCTTGTAAGATGATGGTATCAGGACAGCAACCTTTCTACACTTTTTATTTCTCTTTTTTTTTGTTCTTTGTTTATGTAACAGAGTAAGCAGGAAATTCACAGGAGGTCCGCTCGGCTCAGAAACACTAAATACAAATCTGCTCCAGCTGCTGAAAAGAAAGTTTCCACTAAAGGGAAAGGGAGAAGACATATTTTTAAATTAAAAAATGTAAGATGATTGTGGACAGTGTCTTGTACTGTAATTGTGGCATTGTGTGTAGTGTGACCAACCACCGCCTTCATCTCTCACCATTGAACTTGGACTCTGCTCTTGGCAGCCCTTCTGTAGCCTTCTGGGGACTGATCCAGGCTTTCAGAAAGGGAAGGAACTCTTTTAGGAGGCTTATTGTTTTATAAAGTTAACAATATCCTCTTTTCCTTGTTTTAGTACCCCCCGCCTCCACCCGGGGGGAACATAATACATGATTCTAAAAGAAACCTAAATCTTGAACACATTTTATTGGGTTCTCTGTGCAAAGGATGAGATGCAGTTACAGTTCTTGGTGTGGGCATGGTATTTTTTTTTTCCATAAAGCTCTAAGTAAATAATAACACTGGAATTAATTCAGTTCCATATTTGCTTGTTATATGGCCCCAGAAAAATGTTTCTTACTGATTTATAATGATCAACTTGATGAATATGAATCAAAAGTTTTACTAAATCTTCTTTATCTCTTCTTTTATAAGAAAATAGATCGTTGAAAGATTTGTGTTGAAATAACTGAAAGCTTATTTTTGGTTTTGTAAATACAAGAGACAGTGGTCAGACACAATGGGCAAAGCATTAGATACTGTTTTTTGTTTTTTTTTTTTTAACCTCAGTATGATATTATGCTTTCAGAACAGAAATGCTTTATTCACCAGTAAAGACATTTTCTGAAGTTGGGTGTATTCATTTAAAAAACTCAGAGAGGCCTTGCATTATATTCTTGTGCAGATTGTGGATTCTTTTTCTTGAGAGTAGTTGCTTCTAATTTATTTAGGATTTTAATGAATTTGTTTTCTAAAATGTGATTATTGACTAGACAAAATATGTGAATACTTGATTATAGTTGTACACACTTAAATACCTTTTTCCTCTTAAGTGTGGTGGAATATGTTTTCTGAAAGTATTTTAATATCAATTTCTCTGGCAACCGCTTTCTTCAAGGATGATACCAAGACATATTTGGGAAGGCCTAGTTACTGTGTTGTGGCATAAAAGTGTGTATTACAGCTTAAGAAGGAATTTTGATGATGATTGAGTGGTGGCAAATTACTAGCCACTCCCAAGAAAGCTTCCTTTGGCCTTGGTTCAGATTTGTTAGAAAACTAGTTCTGATGATATTATCATAGCTATAGTTAAGTTGAAATGGAAAATGTCTTTGAGGAGACTTGTTTGTTATTTCCACCTCTGTCATGCTCAGGCCTTTAAAGCCACAGATGATTTTTTAAACTAGATTGTTATGTGCAGTAAAGCTCTGAGAAGGGGTCTGTTAGGTCTCAGCCACATAATCAGGAGCTTGTCCTTTGAGTCTCAGCAATTTTTAAGCTAAAGGTAACGGAAATAACAGCAGAAATATTCAGACCATGCTTTGCCGCAGTGTTCAGGAGATTTTTTTTTTTAACACTGCAGTTCTTGTGACCAAACAACTTTAGTATTTCTCAGATTACAGAACTCATGTGTGGCTGGAAAAATGCCTATACACACTACACACACACACACACATATACACTACACACACACACACACACTATGAATGTGCTAATATGTTTACTTCTGTTTTTTCATAGCCCATCAAAGCTCCTGAGTCTGTTTCCACCATAATCACTGCAGAATCAATCTTCTACAAGGTGAGCACCATAGTTATTGAAGGAAGATTTGAATCTATTGTGTTTTTTTTTGTTTTTTAGTCACTTATCCAACTCTTTTGTGACCCCCATGGACGGTAACCTGCCATGCTCCTCTGCCCATGAGATTTCCAAGGCAAGAATACTGGAGTGGTTTGCTATTTGTTCCTCTAATGGGTCTTCCCAACCCGGGACTGAACCTTCATCTCCGGCATTGCAGGTGGATTCTTTACCTCTGAGCCACCTGGAAGGCATAATGTGGTACTGAAATACTGGGTTAGTCTAAAGGTCTTTACTACTCTGTATAAGGTGTGATTATGTTTTTTGTTCCTTTCTAAGCTCTTTTTCCCCATACATGGCTATCATAAAACATCCAGAGCTGAGTTGGGAGAGGAAGTTGCCTATTGAAATATTATATGAGAATCTTAAGTATTTTTTAATGTAGATTATGGGAATTGTTTTTACAATACAAATGTGTGGTGTGGAGCCAGGGCAACGAGCCATCCTAGTCAACCTGATAACATTGAAGACTAAGAAGATAGAGGAGCAATTTGGACAAATAGAGGATGGAGACTGATACGGAGATGGGAGCAGGCAGAGAGGTTCACACATGCCTTTAAGAAGTGAAAGGAGAAGGGCAGTAGTGGGGACTGGCTGCTCCTGGAAGTCCGTGGTCAGGGAGAGAGAGGTGACGTTGTTTTGATAAAAGCACTGTTTTTCAAGACCGTACAGAGGTGGACTCTGGCTGAGACAGGAGCCTCAGCTGTAGTGCTGCCTTAGGTAGCTTTTAGCAAGTCTCTTAACTCTGTCCAGTGCAGTGGCTCTGGTGGAAAAATATAGGGATCGTACTACTGTGGTATAAAATTATGTTTATAAACAGATGTTTTCTCCAGCTGCAAGTCATCATGTGTATGTGAAATTTTTTTCATTCAAAAATGAAACAACTTTAGGGACTTCCCTGGTGCTTCATTGGTTGAGAATCTGCCTTCCAGTGCAAGGGACTCGGGTTGATCCCTGATCAGAGAAATAAGATGCCATACACCGAGGGGCAGCTAAGCCAGCAGCTAAGGAGCCCTTGTGCTGCCACAGGGGGGCCTGTGCACCACAGCTGGAGAAGCCCACGGGCCCCAGTGAAGAGTGCCCAGCAGCAGAAACCCAGCACAGCCAGAGACAGAAAGAAGAAACAGCTTTAGACCTGGCATCAGTCACGACCATATAAATGTCAGCACATTAGACCATCTCAAAGACCTTCTCTTAACCACTTGGAAAATTGTTGTTTTCATATTAAGGAAGTTTCCATTCGTACCTGTAGTGTTTTTCTGTTATTTTAAATTGGGCTTATCTTCTGTTTCTCCCAGGGAGTCTATTACCAGATTGGAGATGTTGTTTCTGTAATTGATGAACAAGATGGAAAGCCCTACTATGCTCAGATCAGAGGTTTTATCCAGGACCAGTACTGTGAGAAGAGTGCGGCGCTGACGTGGCTCATTCCCACCCTGGCTAGCCCCAGGGACCAGTTCGACCCTGCGTCCTACATCGTGGGTGAGTTAGACAGGGATGGACAGGCTCTTGAACCGGTTTATTTTCCATTATTATGTGAAAGTGTATTCATCTGCTTGGACTGCCATGACAAAATACCATAAACTGAGTGGGCTAACAACAGAAGTTTACTGTCTCACAGTTCCGGATGCTGCAGGTCCAACGTCAAGGTGCTGTCGGTCGGTTTCTGGCGAGAGCTGCCTCCTGGCTTGTGGACAGCCGCTTTTCGGTTGTGTCCTCACAGGAACTTTCCTCCATGTGCGTGCACTCCTAGCATCTCTTCCTCTTCTTATAAGGTCACCAGTTCTATTGGATGAGAGCCACGTCCTTACAACTTCATTTTACCTTAATTACCTCTCTAAAGGCCCTCTCTCCAAATGTTATCACATTAGGGATTAGGATTTCAGCCTGTGAATTTGGGGGCATACAATTCAGTCCATAACAAAGAAGCATAAGTACAAAAAAGATAATTTTAGAGAAAATATGAAATTTTTTAAAGCTGGGGTTTGAAGCTATCAATTATTTTGAGTTATAGGGCAGCATGCACCTACTAAAAAGCTGTGTGGATAAGATTTTTCTGGGTGACCCAGGGTTAAACTCTATTAAAATAAAGAATTTATTGCTTAAGAACAAAAGATTATTTAGGTAACATATAAAAAGTTACTCAAAAATAATTTCTAGAGGAACTGTCATGTTTATGTCTCAACATCTTACAAATTATCAACGTATATTCCTCTACATATCACACACATCATCCTGGACCTTTTGTAACCTGTTATATTGGTGGTGGTGGCTGAAATGGCAGCCACTGTGCTCATTGATTTCCAGGCTGACCAAAGAATTGATTCTTGACATAGACTCTCAAGAAGAAGTTGTTGATAAATAGAATTTTGAGTGTTTAGAGTTTTAAAATTACCCCCAAACTTTTCAACCTTTCTGCAATGAGCATACATTACTTTTTCATTCTAAGAAAAAACACAGAAGGTATTTTTCTGAGAGAACGGAAGGACAAATAATATATCACTGTTAATCTCACCTGCGTGTCAAGTTTTGACATGTGGCCAAGCAGTTTTAGTCTTTTGCTTGTATGTACATAGAAGAGTGAGCTTTTATTTACCTGTCCCATCAGATCGGATTGTCAGCCGAGGCATTAATGTGCCTGAACCACCTCTTGGGCTTCTCTCTCACCTCTTCTTCCTGATGTTCTGAAGGAGACCACATATCATAAAGTTTCAGAGCCCAGACTCTGAAACTAGACTGTCTGGGTTCATAGGACAGCCACTTAGAAGCTATGTGATCTCGGGCAGGTTCTTTCATCTCTCTTGCCTCTTTCCCTCATGTAAAATGGGAATAATCATGGTACCTAACTCAGAGGGTTGCTGTGAGGATTGAAAGCATTGATGTATCTGGCAGGTATTTAGATCAGTATAGACATATAGTAGATATTATATAAGGCTAAATATCACTATTAGAATCCTTTCTATATTGAGTTACAATTTTGGGAGAGTGCTATCTTCCTTAAGCAGTTAAAGCAGAAAAAAATGATAGGAAGTAATTTCAAAATAATATATATTTTAAGGAGTAATGTCAAGTTAGCACCAGACCAGTTTCTCGTAGTGTTTAGGAATTTTAATTTTTATGAAAATGATATATATCTTCAAAAATGTAAATGGTGGCTCCCTTCCAGGACCAGAGGAGGATCTTCCAAGGAAGATGGAATACTTGGAATTTGTCTGTCATGCACCTTCTGAATATTTCAAGTCACGTTCGTCACCATTTCCCACAGTTCCCACCAGACCAGAGAAGGGCTATATATGGACTCATGTTGGACCTACTCCTGCAATAACTATTAAGGAAACAGTTGCCAACCATTTATAGTTTAAAAAGTAAACCTGGATTTCTAGTTCCCTTGTATTTGTACCACTGTAAGACATGCCACATGTTTAATGAAATTCTTGGATGGAAAAATGACTAAAGTAATCACTAGGTTGTTTATTAGAAGTCACTTAGAAAATTAAAAGAGATAGAAAAGAATTAAATATATTTTGAAATGAAGTATTACACACACATTAAGTGTGTATATCCTCCCAGGCAAATACTGTCATTTCCAGGGAGACTATTAGGAACAGGTAGTGTCTATTTCTCCTTAATTTATTTCTAGAAACTCATAAAATGGATTGTATTTTTCTATAAGAATAAAATATTAATTAAGATATAAATTTCTAACCAAGGGTTAAATCAAGTAAAATATAGCTGTGATCAACACTCTCTCTCACAGTATCTCTTAAAAAAGCTTTATTTTTTATCTAGAAAATAAGACTGTTGACTGCTTTATTAAGGAAAATGATTGGTGGATGATTTTTATTAGCCCAGGCATTTTAAAACTTTCATCTAATTCTTCTGTAGTAGGGAGAAATTCATAATCATTTGGTTGATTTTAATAGAGCTGCTCTTCACTGCTCTGACCTGCCTTCTCAGTCGGAACGAGGCTTCATCAAAAGGTTAGGCTTACAGTGTGGACAGTCACCTTTGCTGAACACACAGGAAATATGCTCTGTAGGCACCCCAGAGCAGTAGGTTCTTGACTGCACCTAGGTCTAACATTGGACAGCCATAAAAATGATTAATAGGTCATTAGCAATGATATCTTTTAGGATTTGAAAAATCTCAACTGGAATTCTATCACCTCCACTAGCTTTGTTCATAGTGCTGCTTTCCAAGGCCCATTTGACTTCACATTCCAGGATGTCTGGCTCTAGGTGAGTGATCACACCATCGTGATTATCTGAGTCATGAAGATCTTTTTTGTACAGCTCTTCTGTGTATTCTTATCACCTCTTCTTAATATCTTCTGCTTTTGTAAGGTCCATACCATTTCTGTCCTTCATTGTGCCCATCTTTGCATGAAATGTTCCCTTGGTATCTCTAATTTTCTTGAAGAGATGTCTAGTTTTTCCAATTCTGTTATTATCCTCTATTTCTTTGCATTGATCACTGAGGAAGGCTTTCTTACCTCTCCTTGCTATTCTTTGGAACTCTGCATTCAAATGGGTATATCTTTCCTTTTCTCCTTTGCCTTCCCCTTCTCTTGTTTTCATAGCTATTTGTAAGGCCTCCTCAGACAACCATTATGCCTTTTTGCATTTCTTTCTCTTGGGGATGGTCTTGATCCCTGTCTCATGTACAGTGTCACGAACCTCTGTCCATAGTTCTTCAGGCACTCTAGCAGATCTAATCCCTTGAATCTATTTGTCACTTTCACTGTATAGTCATAAGGGATTTGATTTAGGTCATACCTGAATGGTCTAGTGGTTTTCCCTGCTTTCTTCAATTTAAGTCTGAATTTGGCAATAGGGAGTTCATGATCTGAGCCACAGTCAGCTCCCAGTCTTGTTTTTGCCGACTGTATAGAGCTTTTCCATCTTTGGCTGCAAAGAATATAATCAGACTGATTTCGGTGTTGGCCATCTGGTGATGTCCATGTGTAGCATCTTCTCTTGTGTTGTTGGAAGAGGGTGTTTCCTGTGACCAGTGCGTTCTCTTGGCAAAACTCTGTTAGCCTTTGCCCTGCTTCATTCTGTACTCCAAGGCCAAATTTGCCCGTTACTTCAGGTATTTCTTGACTTCCTACTTTTGCATTCCAGTCCCCTATAGTGAAAAGGATGTCTTTTTTGGGTGTTAGTTCTAGGTCTTGTAGATCTTCATAGAATTGTTCAGCTTCAGCTTCTTCAGCATTATTGGTTGGGGCATAGATTTGGATTACTGTGATATTGAATGGTTTGCCTTGGAAATGAACAGAGATCATTCTTTTTTGAGATTGGATCCAAGTACTGCATTTTGGACTCTTGTTAACCATGATGTTACTCCATTTCTTCTAAGGTATTCTTGCCCACAGTAGTAGATTATAATGGTTATCTGAAAATAAAAAAAAGGTCATCTGAGTTAAATTAACCATTTCCAGTCCATTTTAGTTCACTGACATTCCTAAAATGTCGATGTTCACTCTTGCCATCTCCTGTTTGACCACTTCCAATTTGCCTTGATTCATGGACCTAACATTCCAGGTTCCTATGCAATATTGCTCTTTATAGCATTGTACCTTGCTTCCATCACCAGTCACATCCACACTTGTGTGTTGTTTTTGCTTTGGCTCCATCTCTTCATTCTTTCTGGAGTTAGTTCTCCACTGATCTCCAGTAGCATATTGGGCACCTACTGACCCAGGGAGTTCATCTTTCAGTGTCCTATCTTTTTGTCTTTTCATACTGTTCATGAGGTTCCCAAGGCAAGAATACTGAAGTGGTTTGCCATTCCCTTCTCCAGTAGACCACGTATTTTCAGAACCCTCCACCATGACCAGCAAATTTGGAAAACTCAGCAGTGGCCACAGGACTGGAAAAGGTCAACTTTCATTCCAATTCCAAGGAAAAGGTATGCCAAAGAATGCTCAAACTAACGCACAATTGCTCTCATCTCACACACTAGCAAAGTGATGCTCAAAATTCTCCAAGCCTAGCTTCATCAGTACGTGAACTGTGAACTTCCAGATGTTCAAGCTGGATTTAGAAAAGGCAGAGGAACCAGGGATCAAATTGCCAATATCTGTTGGATCATCAGAAAAGCAAGAGAGTTCCAGAAAAACATCTATTTCTGCTTTATTGACTATGCCAAAGCCTTTGACTGTGTGGATCACAGTAAACTGTGGAAAATTCTTCAAGAGATGGGAATACCAGACCACCTGACCTGCCTCTTGAGAAACCTGTATGCAGGTCAGGAAGCAACAGTTAGAACTAGACATGGAACAACAGACTGGTTACAAATAGGAAAAGGAGTACATCAAGGCTATATATTGTCACCCTGCTTATTTAACTTATATGCAGAGTACATCATTAGAAACGCTGGGCTGGAAGAAGCACAAGCTGGAATCAAGACTGCCAGGAGAAATATCAATAACTGCAGATATGCAGATGACACCACCCTTATGGCAGAAAGTGAAGAACTAAAGAGCCTCTTGATGAAAGTGAAAGAGGAAAGTGAAAAAGTTGGCTTAAAACTCAACATTCAGAAAACTAAGATCATGGCATCTGGTCCCATCACTTCATGGGAAATAGATGGGGAAACAGTGAGAGACTTTATTTTTTTGGGCTCCAAAGTCACTGCAGATGGTGACTGCAGCCATGAAATTAAAAGATGCTTGCTCCTTGGAAAAAGAGTTATGACCAACCTAGACAGTGTATTAAAAAGCAGAGACATTACTTTGCCAACAAAGTAGGTATGTATGGATGTGAGAGTTGGACTATAAAGAAAGCTGATCATCGAAGAATGGATGCTTTTGAACTGTGGTGTTGGAGAAGACTCTTGAGAGTCCCTTGGACTGCAAGGGGATCCAACCAGTCCATCCTAAAGGAAATCAGTCCTGAATATTCACTGGAAGGACTGAGGCTGAAACTCCAATACTTTGGCTACCTGATGCAAAGAGCTTACTCATTTGAAAAGACCCTGATGCTGGGAAAGACTGAAGGAGGGAGGAGAAGGGGACGACAGAGGATGCGATGGTTGGATGGCATCACCAAGTCAAGGGACATGTGCTTGAGTAAACTTGGGAGTTGGTGATGGACAGGGAGGCCTGGTGTGCTGCAGTCCTGGGGTCGCAAAGAGTCGGACACAACTGAGCAACTGAACTGTACTGAGCATTGATATCTTAAAAAAAGTCCACCCCAAAGTTAAAGCCATCTGCTGTGGATTCATCGTAACAGGCCTAAAACCGTGTTTGAGATTTAGAAGGCCAGGCACAGGAATTCTAGTCAGAATTCAGGGACAGGTTTTACTTCAAGGGCAGGTCAGCTGTGTCAGGGAGCGACAGCTTCAAAGTGGGAGAAAGTGGGGCTTACACGCACTTGCCTCCTCTCCTCTTCTGAGCTGACCATTATTTCCCAGCCCCAAGAAACTTTTATCAGAATCTAATTTAATTATAATGATTTTGAATTGTAGCAGTTTTAACTGTTAAACTGTTACCATTTTTATACACAGTTACGGTTTATTAGTTGGAAGAAAGTTATGATCTGTATATTGTAGATACATAGCCCTATGTTATACATAATCTCTCTTCACAAAAGTAGTTGCAAAATTGATTGTAAATACCATTGTCAATAACTAAATGCTAGTATTCAGAGCTGTGGATTAAAATGTATTTTTCCAAATATATTTACTTTGAATTTATTTCATTCATTTGTTTCATGTAAATAAGGGTTTTCCACCCAAAAATGGTGTAAGTAGAAGACACTAGTGTTGTACTACTTGTAATTTGGAGCGACAGATTTGTCATCAATATGTAATAGATATTAGGATACTCAAAGAATGACTGATCAATAAAATGAATACAAAGTAAGGTATTTATTAAATGACATATTTTAAAACCAGTGTATAAACTGACCATTTGTTCATAATTTGGTGGATGCTTGTGTAATATCTTTTAGAACTAAGATTGAATTTTCCTTTGCCTCCTTAGCAAACACCAGTGGCTGCTGTTACTCACAGTATAGATCTGTCTTTTCTCCTATAATGGAAGGCCTGTGCTGAGGGGGCCCACAGACTGTGCTCCCACCCTCGTCACCAAGCGGCTGAGAGGCTAATGCAGGTTCCAGTTTGTCCTTGCTCCCCTTTCATGAGCATCTTCCCTCCAGACTGCCTGCCCTGGCAACTTAGACCCCAGCCCATTCACAGGCTGTTCAGTGGGCTCCAGTCACTGTGTAAGGTAATATTTCTGTAATAGATTCTTACCTTTCTAAGTGGCTCTGTTTCTGTCTTCAAATCCTGATATAGTTGTGGAGACACTGAAGGATAAAGCGAAGAACTGCTGTTTTTCATTACAACTATTTAGAATTACTTGGCCTTTTAAAAAAATAACTGTGTACAGGTATTATTTTGATAAATTTCTTTTAATTGAAAAGTAATAAAGGATGTCACAAAGGGAAAGATGAACACATTGGGTTATTAAAATTTTTAATTTATAACTGTGTATAAAATTAAAAAGCAAACTCTTTTTCTTTTTTCTGTTCAAGAAGTGGGAATCATGAACCATTATTTCTCACTCAACATGACAGACTGGCATGAAGGAATTACTTAATTACAAACAGCAGCTACAATCATAGCCTCAACTTCTAGTGACATCATCGCTATTTGGAATTACTCTGACTTCTGTGTTTCACCTGTTGTGCAAGGGAGCAAGTTTAACAAAAATACCTAACCTTCAGTACTTCTCCTTGTGGATAGGAGAGGTGCAAGTTAAAAAGACCATAACTTTATTTATTTATTTTTTTAAGACCATAACTTTAAAGAATGAAGGTGCTGTTGGGGAAATACATTTTGAAAAAACTTCTTTCAATTCAGACATCTTCTCCAAAAAGGTAGTAGAGAAAGAAAACACTATTGAGTGAGGATTAAATTAGAATATGCTCCTCTATCACAGGCATTTGGCTAAGGTCGCAAAAACAAACAAATTTCACCTTTTTGTGTGGCCAAACAGGTACAGTCATTATGTACATGTTCTCCAGATAAACAGTAAGTGGTCCTCAGAGAACTTGACAGCACCATTTGTCACATGCAGTTCTTGCTAAATTTACCTGGTGACTGGGGTGACCACCTCCGTTAGCTAGTTGACTTTCTGAGGGGTGAGAGGGGCAGACATGTCTGTGTGACAAGAAGACTTGAGCAGTTTGGGGCGCTGAAGTGTGGCTCCTCCTCTCTCACAGAAACTGGAGGACGGGGTGCCCTGTCCTGACAGTTACATGTCAAAGACATGGCTCCCAGGGCCTTGAGAAGAACACTGCTAGGGGGCAAAACTAAGGCTTATTTAGTTTCTTAAAAATACATTTCAAAGAGTGTGAGAAAATACAAGTTTTCTAAGGTAAATACTCAGACATAAAGGAAAATCTCTTGCCTTATTTTCAGCAGAGAGAATTAAGCATCTTATTTTATTTTTTTATTTATTTTTTTTTTCATTTAAAATTATTTAATGTGTACACAAGTAATAGTATAAAGTACATGTATATGATACATTACATAATTTGTTCTGAGGTTTTGAAAAGCAGTATTTTGGGCTTTGAATTCTTATACTATTATCTATTACATCATTCAAGTAACACATATTTCAAAAGTTTAAATTTTTTAATAATAACTAAATTAACACATAACTCTAAGACAATCTGATAGATGAGCTGCCTTTGCCAAAATAGTGTTGTTCAATTCTTCTACAGAAAGCAAGGAGGTTGCTGTAGTTTTTCACCTTCTCAGAAAGTTCATCATTGGTCATTTGTGTAGTAAGAATGGTATACAGATGGCCAAATACCAGTGCATCTAGTTCAGTGGGCTGCTTATTGAAGAAATATGGTTGTGTTCCCAGTCTTTGAGAAAGAGCTTGACAGCACTGGTCTACATCTTCTAAGACCTGGTCCAGAGTCTTGTTACCCCATCCAATAGCTTTCATCTTACGTTTGACTTCCCACTGTTTCTGATAGGCCAAAATATGATTCAGAGGCCAAGGGTAGGGAGATCCATACCTAGCAAGAGTGATCTCTCCTACAGTAGCATCATCACACCACTGAAGATACAGCTCTGCAGTCAACAGCATATTGTTGACTAATTCCATGTAGGCTTTCATTTCTGCTTTTTGGACTTCATCCAGCCCATCACTAAGAGAATGGCCCTTGGCTTTAACGAATTAGACTATCGGACCAAGTTCTGATACTACTTGATTTCCTACATGAATAAAAGGTACTTTACCAGATGGAGACATATATTCAGCATTTGCCCTACAGACCACTTTGATAGGCAGATTACACATTTGCAAAAAGGCCACAGACCTCAACCGATGCCACAATTCTACTTAGCCAAAGATTAATGCTATAGCATTCACTGCAATTATTCTTCATCCCTGCACAGCAAGAGAAGCTGCATTGTCAGAAAGCAAAATTTGCTCCCCTTTCAGCTGCTGATACAATGTAGCATTTTCAGGCCAAGGTTCTGCAGCTGCGATCTGGGAGACTAAGGCTTCCGCAACTAGAGACATGTCGGCTGGGCGGCCCTGCGCCCGCAGTTCCTGCTCCCCGCGATCCTCAGCGAACTCCCGCGCAACCCCGGCGGCTCCTGGCACCTAACAGGCCTGGCCCCGGCTGAAGCTCGGACTCCCACAGCCCACCCCGCGGCGGCGGCAGACCACCGGCTGAGACTCCAAGGTTACCACCAGGCCAGGCCAGGAACTTCCGGCGCAGCTGACAGCGGCGCGCTAAGCATCTTATTTTAAATTCCTCTTTGTCCTTAGCAGCACCCTAATTTGGAGGAGGGAGAAGTGGGCAGCTTCGTGACTCGGGCCTCACAGTGGGGGACGCTTAGGACATGGCGTCTGTGAGGGTTTCAATATGGCGGCCACGTCAGGGCTGGGGCAGAGGCCCAGGGCTGCAGCCCGGCTTCCACCCACCCAGGACCCTCGGTCAGGGCGTATCCTCTACCACCATACTTGGTGGTCCTCGTGGTTGTGGCTTTATTAACAGGACTAAGAGGTTTTGAACTACAAAGGCCAACACCATCATCTCTTGCTGAAGGAAAATTCATTTTCCATTCTCCTCCATAGTCACAGATTCACAAATATCACACTCAAATTATCCGTGTTTTATATTTAAGAATTATATGGATTTTGAGTATGTTTTTAGGTTCCACTGGCCTCCCCCACATTTATACCAGTGAATCAGGAGCACATTACAATCACCTGTGAAGCTTTAACAACTAGAAACAAAAATTACAAAAGGAAAAAGGAATTTCTGCTGGGAAGTTCTGACAAGCAACGAAGTAAATCAGTGTCTGCGGGCGTGAGACTGGGACCTCCTTAGGTTCCGAAGAATCTAGTAAAATGTAAGAAAAGTCAAAAAAATGTTTACAGTTCCAGAGGTGACTCCGATGTGCAGCCAGAGATGAGAACCACTTCTCAGGCTAGTTCTCTCTGTATATAAAATGCAGCTGATAAAGACTTCAGTTTCTACACCAGCTTTGGTAATTTAGGAAGCTCATCAAAGGCCTGTTCATACCAGTTAGCCTTGTTAAAAGTAATTAGTCACCTGTCAGGGAACCGACATACTCTGAGCACTTGAGGCTACACTCCAGCTCAGCTGCGGCTCGTTTACCTGACCCTAGAGAGTGGGACTTGCTCGCCTCCTAGTGAAGCCCCCTGACCAATCAGGCTGTTCCCTCAAAGCCTCTAAGGCTGATGAAGCTCCTGCCCAGCATTTGGGAGGAGGCTGTGCTGCTGGGAGGTCCTGCGCCTCCTGAATCCGTGGGTGGTTTTCCCTTGACCAAAGGACTCCAAAATCCTTACTAAATTGCTTGAGTTTTTATCATTTGACAGTTTTGGTGAGGACATGGGTCCTGACAACTCACTGGAAAAGACCCTGGTGCTGGGAAAGATCGAGGGCAGAAGGAGAAGGGGGCATCAGAGGATGAGATGGCTCTGCTGCACCCATGATGCAAACAACATGAACCTGGGCACACTCCAGGGTATGGTGAGGGACAGGGAAGCCTGGCTTGCTTCAGTCCGTGGGGTGGCAGAATCCGAGGCAACTGGGCGACTGAACCACAACATAGGTCCTGCAGACAGCTGCTGGAGATGCCGGGGGCTCCCGACTGTGGCGAAGGGAGCCCGGAAGCCCTTGGATTTCACTGCCTCTTTGCCACTCTCCAGGATGCTCTTAGTTTGCCTTCTGAGCTCTTCAGGTTTGTCTGGATCCTTCCTGGAGGACAATTGGAGCATGAGAAGCTCCAGGTCTCGTGGGCGACAGCATTGGGACCTTGCAGCCAACCTCCTCTGCAAGGTAAGCGCTTCGGGGAGGCCCTGCCAGGTCCTTGCCCCTTGCCTCGCTCTGTGATTTATTCTTTCTGGGGCGCCTGAGGAGGGACCTTGTGGGTCCCATCTGAGATGACCTTGTCTTTTTCTAAAGATAAACTTTCTGGGTAACAAAGGCAGAAGGGATGCTCAGCCTGGGTGCCCCACTGGGAAGAGCCGCCCAGCAAGACCTCGAGCCGGGGGGGGGTCTGCAGTCCCGGGCACAGACACGTCCCTGGTGGGCAGGAGAGGGTCTGGCTGCCCGAGGAGCTGCCCAGGGGAGGGCGGTTCTGGGTGGCCGCGGCCCAGCCCGAGGCCCAGCTGAGTGGGACACTCGGTGGGGGGTGACTCCTTTCTCTTGGTTGAGCCTGTGAGCAGAGGCCACACTCGGGGCCGCGCCCCCTGCCCTCCCGCCCACAGGTGCCCACGGGCGCAGGCGTGCTGAGGCCGCACACGCCCAGGCGGTGGTCCCCCGCCTCAGCCCTCTCCTCCCACAGCCAGCACGCTGGCCTTCGCCATCAGTAATAGTCCCGTAACTCGGAAGGACGGGGTGCAGACTGGCCTGTCTTGGGTTGACGTGTGCTATCGTTTGATGTATTCTGGCTAGTTTTGTTCTTTACTGTATATTTAGAGTAATAAACTCACACAGCAATTAAAAAAAAAAAAAGACAGCCAGAAACACTAAGTCTGGTTGAATTGGGATCATTGCAACAAGGAATAATAATGGGGACCTGTCAACCTAAGGGAAGCAAGATGGCAAAGTGTGAGGAGACTCGCGAAGCCTCAAGGTGAGTCCACAGTGTGAGCTGCTCTGGAACTTGCGGAAGTAAGTGGAGACCAGAAGTATCTGGTGGTTTTCGCCAGCCGGTACCATCTGGAGTAGGTAGGCACAGTTCAGAATATTTAAAGGCATTACAGTGTCCACCGCTGTAAAAGAAATCTTCTCAGAGAAAAAAAACCGATCTGTTACTAGTGGAAATTGTGAAGCCAGCACTGCAAAGCTGGCGGGCAGAGCTGGTAGAGCTCTGGCCACCTAAGACTCCTGAGCTATGCTGAGCTGGTCACGGATGGGCTGGGTTGACGCCTGTCACCTGCCAGGCTCAAGAAATTTTCCATGTGACTGACAAGGTGCGCTGTCAAACAGCACACAGTTGGCTTTGAGAGACCCAAGGTGTAGCTAAAGAAGTGGAGTCCTCAGTCTCGGAGAACTGAGCTCACCACCTCCAGGCACACCCGCCTGATGGGTATCTGAGAACTGTGGCCCCAGAGGCTGTAAATAATTACACAAATGGCAACATCTCACTGAGACAGCCTAGAGTTACTGTGGCTACTATGGGGAGCCTCCCCATTGCATAAGATACTTCACTTAAGAAGGGTGATTGAAAGCAATGGCTCCCAAACAGAATGTGATACTAATTTGTTTCCTTTAAAAAATATTTTTAAACTGAGGTGTAATTGACACACAACATTAGTTTCAGGTATACAACATCAATGACTGAGTATCTGTATACATCACAAAATGTGATATCACCACAGTAAGTCTAGTTAACAGGTCACCATACATAGTTCCCTTGTGGCTCAGAGGGTAAAGCGTCTGCCTGCAATGTGGGAGACCCAGGTTCGATCCCTGGGAGGGCAAGACCCCCTGGAGAAGGGAGTGGCACCCCACTCCAGTACTCTTGCCTGGAAAATCCCACGGATGGAGACCCCTGGTGGGCTGCAGTCCATGGGGTCGCAAAGAGTCGGACACGACTGAGCGACTTCACTTTCACTTTCATACAGTTACAAACTTTTCTTGTGATGAAAAATTTTAAGATTTAACAACTTGTCAGATATACAAAGCAGTGTTACTAATTATAGTCACCATGCTGTGTGTACATCATACCCCCATGACTTACAGCTAGAAGTTTGTACCTTTTGACTTTACCCCTTTCGCCACCTCTCCACCCTGTCTCCACCTCTTGCAATTAGCAATTCATTCTCTGTATATGAGGTCGTGTTTTTATTATTATTTTTTAGATTCTCCACATAAGTGAAATTGTATGGTTTGATTTCTCTGACTTACTTCACTTAGCTTAATGCCCTCAAGGTCCATCTATCTTGCTGCAAATTACAAGATTTAAATCTTTTTAGTTATTTATATCTTTTTATAAGGCTGGTTAATACTGTGTACACATACTGCCATTTCTTTATCCATTCACCCATCAATGGACACTTCTTTCCATAACTCGGCTCTTGTAAATAATGCTGCAGTGAACACGGGGGTGCTTATATATTTTTGAACTAGTGTTTCTTGTTTTCTCTGGACAAAGACACAGAAGTGGGACTGCTGGATCATATGGTAGTTCTATTTTTTATTTTTTCGGGAAACTTTATACTGTTTTCTATAGTGGCTGCATCCATTTACATTTTCATCCACAGTGCACAAGGGTTCCATTTTTTCCACATCCTTGACAACATTTTTTATTTCTTGTACTTTTGATAACAGCCATTCTAACAGATGTGAGTGGTTATCTGATTGTGTCTTTGATTTGCATTTCCCTGATCGGTGATGTTGAACATCCTTCCATGTACCTGTTGGCCATCTGTATGTCTTCTTTGAAAAAAAAAGTCCAGATCCTCTGCTCATTTTCTAGATTATTTCAATATTTTTGCTGTCGAGTTCAATGAGTTCTTAGTATATTCTGGATATTAATCCCTTATCAGAAATATCTGCAAATGTTTTCTGACACTGGTAGTTTACCTTTTCATTTTGTTAATGGCTTCCTTTGCTGTGCAGAAGCTTTTAGTTTGATGTAGTTCAAGATGTTTATTTTTGCTTTTGTTGCCTTTGCTTATGGAGATCACCCTTCTTCTAGGAGTTTTATGATTTCAGGTCTTGCATTTCAGTCTTTAATCCGCTTTGAGTTAAGTTTTGTGTGTGGTATAAGATAATGTTCCATTTGTTTGTGTGTGGCTGTCCAGTTTCCCCCTTACCATTTATTGAAGATACTCTCCTTTCACTCTTGCATGTTCTTGGCTTTGTCATAAATAGACCATAAATATGTGGGTTTGTTTCTGGGCTGTTAGGTTCCATTGATCTATGTGTCTGTATTTATGGCAGTACTATTACTGTTTTGATTATTATAGTTTTAAATCAGAGTATGATGCCTCCAGATAAGTTTAAGATCCTTTGGTTCTTTGAAGGCTTTTGTGGTTTCATACAAGTTATGGGATTGCTTGTTCTACTTCTGTGAAAAATGCCATTGGAATTTTGATAGGGATTGCATTGAATGTGTAGATTGCTTTGGTTATAGTTTTCATGCACTCTATCAGATCTACTCCCTTGAATCTATATGTCACTTCCACTGTATAATTATAAGGGATTTCATTTAGGTCATACCTGAATAACCTAGTGATTTTCCCTACTTGCTTCAATTTAGGTCTGAATTTTGCAATAAGGATCTCATGATCTGAGCCACAGATAGCTCCCGAGTCGTCTTTTGGCTGACTGCATAGAGCTTCTCCATCTTCAGCTGCAAAGAACATAATCAGTCTGATTTCAGTACTAACCATCTGGTGATGTCCATGTGTAGAGTCTTCTCTTGTGTTGGTGGAAGAGGGTGTTTGCTATGACCAGTGCGTTCTCTTGGCAGAACTCTATTACCCTGCTTCATTCTGTACTCCAAGGCCAAACTTGCCTGTTTCTCCAGGTATCTCTTGACTTCCTACTTTTGCATTCCAGCCCCTTATGATGAAAAAGGACATCTTTTTTGGTGTTAGTTCTAGAAGGTCTTGTAGGTCTTCACAGAACTGTTAAACTTCGGCTTCTTTGGCATTAGTGGTTGGGGCATAGACTTGGATTACTGTGATGTTAAATGGTTTGCCTTGGAAACAAACCGAGGTCATTCTGTCATTTTTGATTGCACCCATGTACTGCATTTAGGACTCTCCTTGTTGATTATGAGGGCTACTCCATTTCTTCTAAGGGACTCCTGCCCACAGTAGTAGATATAATGGTCATCTGAGTTAAATTCACCATTCCAGTCCACTTCAGCTCGCTGATTCCTAAAATGTCAATGTTCAGTCTTGGCATCTTCAGTTTGACCACTTCAATTTGCCTTGATTCATGGAACTAAGATTCCAGATTCCAATGCAATATTGTTCTTTAGAGCATCGGACTTGACTTTCACCATCACACATCTACAAGTGGGCGTTGTTTCTGCTTTGGCTCAGCCTCTTCATTCCTTCTGGAGCTGTTTCTCTGCTCTTCCCCAGTAGCATATTGGCCTATTGGCCATCTACCAACCTGGGGGGTTCAATGTCATATCTTTTTGATTCAGTTATATATATACCTATATCCCTTATTTTGCAATTATTTTCCCATATAGGTTATTACACAGTATTGAGTAGAGTTCTCTGTGGTATCTGCTATACTGTAGATCCTTGTTATTATGTATTTTATATATAACAGTATATATGTTAATCCTAAACTCCTAATTTATTCCTCCCCCCACCTTTCCCTCCTTGTAACCATACATTTTTTGTTTTCTAAGTCTGTGAATCTGTTTTCATAAATAAGTTCATTTGTGTCATTTTTTTAGATTCCACATATATGTGATATCATATGATATTTATCTTTGACTTATTTTGATTTCTATGATAATCTCTAGGTCCATCAGTTCAGTTCAGTTGCTCAGTCATGTCTGACTCTGCAATCCCATGGACTGCAGTACTTCAGACTTCCCTCCATCACCAACACCTAGAGATTACTCAAACTCATGTCCGTCAAGTCGGTGATGCCATCCAACCATCTCATCCTCTGTAATCCCCTTCTCTTCCCGCCTTCAGTCTTTCCCAGCATCAGGGTCTTTTCCAATGAGTCTGATCTTTGCATCAAGTGGCTAAAGTATTGGAGTTTCAGCTTCAGCCCTTCCAATGAATATTCAGGACTGATTTCCTTTAGGATAGACTGGTTGGATCTCCTTGCAGTCCAAGGGACTCTCAAGAGTCTTCCCCAACACCACAGTTCAAAAGCATCAATTCTTTGGCACTCAGCTTTCTTTACAGTCCAACTTTCATATCCATACATGACTACTGGAAAAACCATAGCTTTGACTAAACGGACCTTTGTTGGCAAAATAATGTCTCTGCTTTTTAATATGCTGTCTAGGTTAGTCATAACTCTTTTTCCATCATGTTGCTAGAAATGCCATTGTTTCATTCTTTTTTTTTTTGAAACCAAGAATTTTTATCTTTTATTTATGCATTTCTTGACCACAACTATTACAATGCTGAATTTTTCACATTTCCAAAGTAATGCCTTATCCATTGCCATGTTATCTTATTCCAAATTAATAAGTAAGGTGGAACTTTTCCAGTTATACAAACAATAAAACTCTTAGATCTCACCCATAGCATCAGTGTTGAGCAATATCACTCAGAAGTCTGGATTACAAAGCTACTTCAATCTTCTATTAAAAGGAAAAATATTTTAAAAATTTTCCAAGATACTGCATAGAACACAAAAATGCAAATATGTTATGCACAGTATTGTCTGCAACCCCGCCCCAACCTTCTACTACTTAGAACGTGAACTTCTTTTTAACAACAAAGTAAGGAATCTGCCTCAACTCTTTTGGAGCGGAAGGAACTGCTGGCTAAGGCACTGGAGCGGGCCCTGGCCTGCCCAAGGGCGGCAATACGAGCCTTGGCTGAAGCTCTAGCTTCAGCTCTCTCTTCCTAATCTCTCAAAGCCTCCTCATACAAGGATGGGAAGGCAGTGGGGACCACATTATGGATCTTAGCCATAAACTCTAGCACTTTCATCTTGGTGGTTTCAGCGTGGACTCTAGAGCCCCACAGGAACTCATAGCATGGAGGATCACTATTGAACACCAGGTACTTCTGCACTAAATCTTTGGTAATGAGCTTCTTAGGCACCCCCAAAATGAAGTGCTTTCTCCCCTTATAGAACCCCATCACATTCAGGATTTCCCAGACTTGCTCCTCACTAGTACAATTGCCCTGCATGAAGATCACACCCAGAACAGCCATCAGCAGGCCTGTCTTGGGAATCTCAGCCTTGCATCGATTTCTCAGCCTTGCATCGCAGCTTGCTTCCATTTTTACACCATTATAACCACCTTCTCATCTATATGGCCTCTATGGATGGACTCAGGGATGAACTACTTGTGGCTCTCTGAACATCCAGATTCTGGGGCTCAACTTGGGCCTGGCGGTGTCTCTCACAGGTACGAGGCTTGCTCTTCTGACCCCGAGGCATGATGACTTTCAACAAAGGCAGCAGGCAAGTGGGCAGGTGACTCAGTGACCATAATGCCCGGCAGAGGCTGGAGCTTCTCCCTGGACTCTTTAAGGAAGGGGCCCCTCAGACGACAAGGGCAGAAGTGGTCCTGGGTCAAGTCCTGGCCCCACCGGGGTTCCTCCCACAGCTTGTTTCATTCTTTTTATAGCTGAGTAATATTCCACTGTATGTATATATCATGTCATCTTTTTCCATTGCTCTGTTGATAGACATTTAGGGTGCTTCCTTGTCTTGGCTATTGTAAATAGTGCTGCAATGAACATTGAGGGACATGTATCTTCTCAAAGTATGCTTTTCTCCAGATATATGCCCAGGTGTGGGATTGCTAGATCATACGGTAGTTCTAGTTGTAGTTTTTTAAGGAACTTCCATACTGTTCTCTGTAGTGGCTGTACCAATTTACATTCCCACTAATAGTGTAAAAGGGTTCTCTCTCAATTTTGAGTTTATTTTTGCATATGCTGTTAGAGAATGTTCTCATTTCATTCTATTACACATAGCTGTTCCATTTTCCATTTTCTTATTGAAGACACTGTCTTTTATCTGTTGTATATTCTTGCCTCTTTTGTCAGAGAGCAGGTGACCTTAAGTGTGTGGGTTTGTCTCTGGGCTTCCTATTCTGTTCCATTATTCTATATTTTTGTGCCCAATTCTGACACAAAAACAGGAGTTTGATACCACAGTTTACTGGATGGCATTATTTGTTGGGTTCATAGCCATTTTAGATCTCTTATGAAAAGTTAGGTATTGACTGGAAAAGAGTTGAATCCTGGTAACTGGCATGTCCCAATTACTGTCCCAATAAAACTGGAGTCCCTTTTATCCCCAGCCTTTTGAAATCTTGCTTGATAGTGACCCAGCCAGTGTCCCTTGCTTGAATACCCAAATCACCTCCATCTGTGTGGGATCCGCCTTGTAAAAGGAAGCTCCTTCTATTGTCCTGTCCCTACTACATGCCCCAGGGAGACAGTAATAAGTCAAGTGTAGAAGGAGAAGGCTTAGACAAGCACTGTGTATTTGCCTTTTACATGCAAAATCTAAAGAATATATTTGGAGGTAGAGACCTTGGGTGCTGGGCTAAGCAGCACTCATATCTGACTCTTTGTGACCCCAAGGACTAGAGCCCGCCAGGCCCCTCTGTCCATGGGCTTCTCCAGGCAAGAACACTGGAGAGGGTTGCCATGTGCTCCTCCAGGGGATCTTCCCGCCCCAGGGATCAAACCCGTGTCTCTGAGGTCTCCTGCATCGGCAGGCAGATGCTTTACTGCTAGAGCAACCTGGGAAGCCAGGTTCCGTCAGTCAGTCCGTCCAGTCGCTCAGTCGTGTCTGACTCTCTACGACCCATGGACTGCAGCACGCCAGGCCTCCCTGTCCATCACCAAACTCCTGGAGTTTACTCAAACTCATGTCCATTGAGTCGGTGATGCCATCCAGCCATCTCATCCTCTGTCAGCCCCTTCTCCTCCCACCTTCAATCTTTCCCTGCATCAGGGTCTTTTCAAATCAGTCAGTTCTTCACATTAGGTGGCCAAAGTATTAGAGTTTCAGCTTCATCATCAGTCCTTCCAATGAATATTCAGGACCGATTTCCTTTAGGATGGACTGGTTGGATCTCCTTGCAGTCCAAGAGACTCTCAAGAGTCGTCTCCAACACCACAGTTCAAAAGCATCAGTTCTTTTGTGCTCAGCTTTCTTCACAGTCCAACTCTCACATCCATACATGACCACTGGAAAAACCATAAGTTTGACTAGATGGACCTTTGTTGGCAAAGTAATGTCTCTGCTTTTAAATATGCTGTCTAGGTTGGTCATAACTTTCCTTCTAAGGGGCAAGCATCTTTTAATTTCATGACTGCAGTCACCATATGCAGTGATTTTGCAGAGCCCCCCAAAATAAAGTCTGTCACTGTTTTCATTGTTTCCCCATCTGTTTGCCATGAAGTGATGGGACCGGATGCCATGATCTTAGTTTTATGAATATTGAGTTTTAAGCCAACCTTTTCACTCTCCTCTTTCACTTTCATCAAGAGGCCCTTTAGAAATAAAAAAAAAAAAAAAAAAAAGAGGCCCTTTAGTTCTTCTTCATGTTCTGCCATAAGGGTGGTGTCATCTGCATATCTGAGGTTATTGATATTTTTCCTGGCAATCTGGATTCCAGCTTGTGCTTCATACAGTGCAGCATTTCTTTCACGGACTCACCACACACTCTCACACTATTACACTATCCCTTATGGCATTTGCTCCTGATCACAAAACTCGCTTTATAGTGAATTCCCTAGACTTAATGTAAATTCCCCTCACCTGGAAACAGCTGGGCTTCTGGGGCTATAACTGACTGTGAAGTTGGAATTCCTTCCTGCAAGATGCAGTACACAGTATATATACTGTATTAAGGCCCGTGGCCTTAACAGAAGGCGCTAAGGAGCTGGGAACCAAAGTGCAAGGGAGAATGACATGTCTCAGTTAATTCCTAGTGACTGAACATCTTTGCTTGCCTTTCTTGTGCTTCTGGGCTTTGTGGATTTAGAGGTAAGCAAAGGAGGCATGCTTCTGGGAAGGGAAGACGGTGCTGATTCCAGGGGTTTGAAAGGGGAGGATTTACCATGCTGGCTGAGTGAATATATGGCTGACGCTACACGATGGGTGATGGGAGGAGAATGGCTGGGCCCTTCTCATACTGAGTGTGCACAGTTAATTGAATGGAGGACACCTGCAATCTTAGGTCACCAAAGGCGAAGATGGAAATGACAGCTTAGACCACCCTACTTAGTAAAGGCCTCTAATCCACTAAATGCTAGCTGCTCAGTCGTGTCCTACTCTTTGTGACGCTATGGCCTGTAGCCCACCAGGCTCCTCTGTCCACGGGATTCTCCAGGCAAGAATGCTGGAGTGGCTTGCCATTCCCTTCTCCAGGGGTTTCTTCCCAAGCCAGGGATTGAATCCAGGTCTCCCACAGTGCAGGCAGACTCTTTACCAGCTGAGCCACCGGGGAAGCTTCTAACCCACTAACGTGAGGGCTGAAGTCAGAGGAGCATGGAATAAAGAACGGAAGAGAGAATGAAACCTATCAGCCACGACCAAACAATTAGCTGCAAGAAGGGCAGTGGTTACAGCCGATACGTTTCTATTTGCGCTCGTGTGTTTATCTGCGCAGTCTACTGACCTTTCTCCTTTCCCCTCACCGCATTACGACAGACAGCTTGTGCTGATGGCAGTGACATACAGTTTAGTTCATAGAGCACGGCAGGACAGACTTCTCATGGAGCTGGCGGGGAGGACTGTACGTCGTTCAAGCTCCTGGCCTGGCAGCTGGACGTAGTTTATGTTAGGGGATGTCATTTCACTTCTGGTTGAAGGAACAACTCAGTTTGTTTAAATTGTGTGCAAATTCTACATTTGCAGATAAAAAGAACAGATCATTGGATCAGTAGATAACTGAATTTTTTATTTCCAAAATAATCAAGGTGTTAAGCATAAAACTTATCAAATGAAAGAAAGATGTTGAATATGCAATCGTGAATTCTAAGAAATGTATTTAATTACATTCTCTTTTCTTCAAAGGAGAAAAAAATCAGTTATTCTATGTGGCCAATATTATTTCAATAAGAATTTACATATATAGGAAATAAAATACAGAATCTGTTATAAATATCTCAATTTATTTTAGAGTATTACTGTCAAGTACTCCTGACCATTAGATAACAGATTTAACAATCTCTGATTTTATAGATTAACAAGTTAAAAGAAATGTACAGATGGCATGTTCATTGTTGTAACACAGGCACACACACACACACACAGTCAGGAGTATGTTTTAGGCCAGGGTTACTTTCTGTCCAGGTCGAAACACTGTTCCACTTTGATTTTTTCTCTTCTTTGGATTTTGAAAGCTTTCATACCTTATTAAAAAAAAAAGATAACATTTAATACTTATAAATGCTGAATTTACAAAACATAAAACAATTGATTGCTGCAAACAAGTTTTTAAGAAACAAAAGACAGTTCTTATAAGAGTTGTTAAAAGTTGAACACTCCAATAGGAAAGGAACAAAGAGGATGAATAAACAAATTAGAAAAGGGAAAATACGAATGACAATGATCAACTGCTATATTTTAATCAGAGAAATGTAAAATTTTAAGATACATACAACTGTTCTCGGAACTGGCCAAGTTTAGAGAAATACTAAAATATTTAACATTAGGGTATGGTGAGGCTGGTACTATAATTACATTACTATTGCAACACACATTTCTGAAAGACACTTTGGCAGTAGATTTCAAAAGCATTAAAAAAAAAATGTGAGTAAACTGATGCGACAACTCCTATCCCAGTGAAATAATTAAGGATATGTGCAAACATAGGTAGGAGAAAGGTTTTCACTATGAGCAATGTGATAAAGTTCAAAAACTGGATGTCACGCCACAGCTGTACAATATGAAATGACAAAACAGTAAATGTGTTTAAAACGTGACAGAATGTTAAAGATGTGTGGGTGGATGGGGGACTGCGATACAGCAGTATGTGCAGAGTGTCTTATTTTATTAACAGAAAACAAGCGTACAAGTGAGATCTGGGAGGTAGTGAGGCTTAGGGCATCTGCTGGTGGTTTTCTTTCCCCTTTGTTTCCTGATTTTTCTACAGTAAGCACATATCTTGTTGAAGGGGAGCAGAATACGGCCCCCCAGTGAGCCACTCTGGCACGCGGGTTATCTTGAGCTGAAGGGCACCGAGACGCGGCAGAGCCGGGAAAGCCTCCTGCCTTTCTCACTGCCTTACGGAACTGAGACTGCGGCCCGC